TCAACTCTTCATATCAAAAAATGAAGTTTTTATTGAAATTTTAAAAATAGGGCAAAAAACCCGAAAAAAACTTAAAATTTTTTTTTATCAAAAACTATAAATCCGGAAACTGAAAGCTTTGTTGAGACGTATACTTCGAAGTGTCCTCCACAAACTGCTGGAAAAAAAACGGATGGGGGACCCCCCTTAAGAGCAATAACCAACTCCGCGACTAACTAATGCTTTGACACGAAATTCAAGGCATTAGTAGCTTCGAAGTGCTGATATGTCGTCAGTAAATAATTTAAGTATGGACCTGGCTATTGCTTGCAAGTCACTTGTATAAATCAAAAACAGCAATGGCCAAATACGAAAGTTTGGAAGTGTTCACACGTGATTTATAGTTCTGTCGATGCAGCCTTGTTAACAATTGTAATTATTCGTTTATTGAAACAATAAGAAACTAGTTGACTGAAGAATTGGATAAGTCTTTACGGCAAAGTTTTAATAGGAGTTCTTTGTAGTGCGACAAACCCTATCAAACGCTTTACTAACGTTTAAGACCGGTATCGGATTGCCATTGTTCAAGCTATGAGCAATAAACTCAACAATAGAAATTCAGGTGACTCACAATAGAAATTTGCAACAAACACAGACTGGTTTTTCCAGATTAAATTATTTATTTTTAGAACCTCTAGTAAATATTGATAAATTATTGAAATACTTTGAAGAAAGCTTCTCGTATTACGATAAGAGTTTTCTCATAAGATACTATATATAGTTGTTAGGCTATTGATGACGCTAACTATTACATAATTAGAAAAATTTAATAGTACTTTATTGAGAACAATAGATGCAGAAATAGCAGCTGGTTCTCTCAGCATGTCATTATGTATTTTTGATACCAAAAGTTGAATTTATTCCTTATATTTAATATAGTTTTGTACAAATTTGAAAAATAAAGCACAAAAAGAACATTTTCTGCATATAATAATATAATAAATAAAAAAATAAAAACTGTTTACATTTCTAATATAGGCTACAGTAGGAGTTGTTTGTCACTGTGTTCGAAAATACTGTACTAATAGCCTATTTAGAACGTCATGAAATGAGTCTACGAATATAAATTAAACTCGTATCACTCTGCTCGCAAATATCAGAGCATGAATTTAACAGTTTTTTTAATTTTCTTTATATAGTTACCTTTATAAAAGAATCTATTTTATTTATCTCATTTTGATTACTCACACAAAAGTCACAGTAATGTTTTTTAGACTAGTATTCATCGTCGTTTCAAACTTAAAATTTAGAACAACTCAGCATCTACCCAATCGTTATCTTTAATAAACTTTTCGACAATTTCTTTCAATACTAAATTGTTAATCAATTGTTCAACAACCAATGGCTTGTTGACAATCGGATCCATATGATTCACTTTAAATAAATTTTCTTCGATACATCCTCGACAATAAGTTATGCCATAAGGCGTTATCACTGGATCACGCTATAAATAAAACGAGAAACAAATCAAATGATGAAAGACAACTTTTTTTAAAAACGTTTTACTTACCATTATGTCATAACATAATTTACACGTTAAATATTCCTATAAAAAGAGATAAGGTATTATCAAATGATAAAACGGATAATCACATGTAATTACCGGTATTTCTCGTTTTTGTCTTCGTTGATCTAATTCATTGAATAATCGATTCATTTCACTTAATGATTTATCACATACTCGTTCAATATCTTTTAAATCTTCTTCTAACTGATGATCAATTATATTTGATCCTATTGTTTGTGATGCTGCTGTTGTGGTTGTTGTAGCACCGGTAACCGCAGTTCCAGTACCACTCGTCAATGTTCCTAATTAATGTAAAAAAATCTAATTGTAGTGTCTCGAAGTATAGGTTCAGCTAAATGGAAAATATAAAAGCACACAACGATCGTCAATGGTTCATCTGTCAATAGCTAGCATAGTTTAGAGTTAAAACTAACTACATCATCGATTCCTATTTCTTATTCGTCAAACAAAAATTATCTTCTTCAGTCTTATATTTATAGTTGGTAGTCTACACTGAGAATCATTATATGTATTTGACCTACCTAGGGTTGTTGATATTTCAGTATTATGATGACCAATCGCTTTTGATAAATATTGTTTAGATAACGGTAAATCACTACTATTTCCACCATTGTTCGATAGTCTATTTGTTGTGTCCATTGACTCTGATACCATTGTCTTTTCTCTTGGTGTCACATTAATAACATAGTGTTTAGTATTTTCATTCGAATTATTCTCATTGATACTTTCACCCTTTTTTTCTTGCTCTTTATCATGAATATAATTTTCAATTCTTTGTTGAATTCTCTTCTCTTTATCATTCATAATTAATGTTTTCAAATAAGTTTGTAATTCAATTTCACAATCAATACGTTTATTTTCAATTAGAAGAAAGCGATTTTTTTGTGCAATACGTAATAGGCGATTAATTTCATCACCAAAATTTTTATTTTGTAGTTTACATAAGTCTAATGAATATTTAAAATAATAGATTGCCTCATCGTACCGTTGTTGTTCCAAATAATATTGGCCAAGATAACAGTTAGCTTTGATATACGTCGAATCAAGATCCAAAGCATGACGAGAATCAAGATATACTTTATCCCATTGTTTTAATTTAATATAACATAGTGCACGGTTTACGTAATAAATGGCTTTTTCACTCTGTTGTATGGCTGAGTTATAACACTGAATGGCATCGTTGTACTTTTTTTGTGAAAAATGTTTATTGCCTAAACAAAAAAAACCTCTGAAACAATAACTTTTGATAGCGATCATACGATTATTAAACTTTTTATATATAATTCTTTTTTTGCTATTTCTTGCCTTTTTCTTTAACTGAATCGCTCTTTTCCGCAGTCATTTGAGTCGTTCATAATTCATAATGATAATATCACTGTGCAAAAATCCATTAAAAATATTGCTGACTTTGTCTATCTGTAGTAAAAGAGTTTATGTTAAAATTTTCTCCGAACAACTTCTAAAAGCAATAGATGAGTAATTTATCGCATAATTCTTTTCAGAATTTAGCCGTCTTAGACATTCTCCCACCACTTTACACGAATGTTTGACAATTGCCATACTCTAATCGAACGATTGATCTAACTGATCATCAATTCAACTACAATTCACACCATACTTATTTCATTGCTACTCCTCTTGAGGCAAGACTATTGGACAAAATTCAATATGTCTGAGTATATACGTTTATGTCAAGGTAGAGAGTTCACAAAATGTAACAAAGATCTCAAAGATAGAATGAGACAATCTGTTTTTAAAATAAAAAGCATATTTTATGGGGAAAAGTAAACTATAACTTCCATTTCACAAAAAAATAAAAATAAAAATATTTACTAAATTTGTCTTCGCTGTACAAAAAAAAGAAACGCGTGACATTTAATAAATAAAAATACAAGCGATCACGTATAATCTAAAACGAAGTAGCACTTACACTGCAAACTTCTCAATGTGAAAAGTCTGTCATGATAACAAACATTTTTGTCAAAGGTCTGTTAATACAGTTAGATAGATAGATGTCGCACCGTATTAAAAAGTGTTATAATATAGAAAAAAAATGAATGTTGATTAAAGATCATTGTGACTGAGATTTACAGGCAGAGAAATTCGATAAAATATTTGTTGAATATACCATCATACATCATTATTTGATGCCAATTTTCGAATTGATAGCGAATTTTCAATTTCATTCAATTCATCCTGATGTCGACTTAATTTAAATGATACTAAACGTCGATAAAAATGTAGAGAAAATACACAAAATATAATAATGATGGGAATAATCACAATCGTTGTGGCAATGGCAGCCATACGAGTGACGAAGAAAAATTTCACCCAACATACAAGTGAAATTTCCACAAGAAATAAAAATATTCCTTAAATACATACATAAACAAATAGTAATTGATGACAGACGAGAAACAAAAACAAATACATACCAAGTCCAGTACTTAAGATCCAAGCAAGTTCAATATAAATATGCATTGTTTCATGCGATGATTCTTCGGAGCCTATAATACTGTCTGCTTCCAATTGTGGTAAAATACAAGTGCTTATCATTAATGCTAAAAGATGAACACCAACTAATAAACATGTAACAATTGAATAAACAATTAATAATGGATTTGATACGTTTGACTTTGAATTTTTATGATCATCCAACGAGACTTCTACCATAGCCACCTTGTACAAATAAAGAAAATAGTTACTCGTTAGTTTATTATGAAGAAACGTAGAACTCTACTGACCGACCACTAACCATTGCAAAACCGGAAAGTAATGCTGATGTTCTACTAACGGCTTTTAGTTTTGCTTTACTAAATAGTAAACGGCGGCGTTTCAATGGATTCATCTATAAACGAACAAAATATTGTTCAATAATCGTTGTATTGTTGAATTATATGTAATATAGAGGAAGTTTGTCTTTATCTTCGAAAAAGTTTCAATCATAGCAATTAATCTTCCACATTATTGCTTTGATCATCGTCAACATAATATAATAAATTATCTTTATATTATTATTCTCATCATCTGTTCACACCTGATAATCATTACTTACTACAGCTATCACTTTGTTAGTTGGAAAAGGCAAGCGCTATTCAGAATAAGACAGCTAGATGTCGCTTGCACTCAATCCACTTTTTCATTTCTTAGCACTATGTTATTTAGATAATACTTGGCTACATTGACAGAATGGCCTCATTTATCTGAATAAAAGACCAAAAGACGTTTGGCTGCGTGCATTAAACTCTGCTTTTTTTCGGTGACCTTAAACGCAGAGGCTAACATGGGGTATGTGCAGTGAGGACAGAGGACTGGATCAGGATAAAATGTTAACTTTTGGCATCAGAAACACCAAGAAACCTCTAAATATATATTGTCTTTTGTTCAAAATAGCGTTAGTGATCCTTTAATCATATAGATATGCCACGTTTTTCAAACAAATTTCCTTTGATTAGTCTAGCGCAAACTTTATCCGTTTTTTGGCCTTTTTGCTAGGAACGTCACTTTTTTTGGAGTCTGAGTAAAAACAGCTTGGATTCATGGAGCTCGAGCTGACATTT